ATCTGGGAAAATGAACCCGAGGTAATTACGAAAAGGAAAAATATTGCGATGACTGATAGAACTCCTTCACTTTATGTCTCTGTTAGCCATGCAGAACATAGCTAGATGGGCTCCGCTGCCATAACGTCTTTGGCTCTGATACCATAAAGTATTAGACTGCTTGTGCGGCTCAGAATGACAATTCAAATACAATTTTACATTTATGAGTTTATTTTTCCTGATTCATATAATGGCAAAATCCAGCCCAAATTGTCCAGATCCCACTTTCAAAGCATGTTAAATGTGCAAATTGTATCTGTGCATGAAATCCATTGCAGCAAATACTGAGGAAAGGTTGAAGGAAATGCTAGGACAGGCCCCGATGTGAAGCCCCCCGACCTTAGAAGCCACTTTTTACAGACAGGAAAATCTAGATGCTCCATTCAGAGAGCCAGGGGGCTGCCCAGCCTCGGGCACCCAGGGCAAGCCGTCCTGCCGTCGGCAGCGACGTGCACACAGCACCTGCCCTGATCCACCGAGTCGGGCACCCAGGCACCCCAGCCGGGCTACTGGCCCGATAACCCCCCCGCCCTGCCCGGTGCTGGAGGGCACTCGCTGCCCGGAGAGGCAGGGGTCTGGGCTAACCCGGACCCCCGCGTGCGCCCAAACACACGGCAGTCGCACTCAGGCACCGAGTGTCTCTTCCGACACCCCTCGGTGACTGCCCTGGCACGATGAACGCCAGCGGGTCTGAGCGTCTTGCTGTGCCGGGCTTTGTGGCTGGCGCTGAGGGATGAAAACCTGAAGAATTGTGGTTTAGTCTTTGGTTTTGTTCTGAAATGACCCAAAATGAGCCTCATAATCTCTCTACGTCATAGCAGTTATGATATAATACAACAGTTTTTTCCTATCAGGCTACTTCTTGGCTGAAATTGAACCTATAAAATACTGCAATTACAGTTTCTTTTTCACATGTTTTGCTCCTGACATTTCTTCTGTCCTCCTGTTCTTTTAAAGAACACCAAGTATTCGGTGTAATTAAGGTTCTGCAGGAATGATCTTTTAACACATAGAGATGAAGAGCAAGAGATTTCATGGGGAAAATATTTACTGCATTCAGAAGTAATGGAAACTATCTGCTTTTGACCCCAGCAAGGCCTCTAAAATTCAATTCTCAGGAGAAAACCACAGCCAAAATAGCAAAGCCTTAATTCAAAGACATGAGTCTCCTGAACTAGGCACCAGAGTCCTCTGCCGACACTACAATCATAGGTCAATGCCACTTAAAACCAACTTAGGGACTATTTAGAGGCAGGCAAAGGATGTATTTGATCCATCTCCCCTTTTAATCAGTCTTTCTTAGTTATTGATGGAGCCTCTGCTCCTAACCACCCCAGCCCCCAAAGAGCCATAAACACCAGCAATTTACAAGGCTTCGTGGGGGTAATTTGTCTGGTGACGCTGGGGTGAGGTTGCACGTGGGCTGTGCAGCTGGCTGGTTTGAATTGTCACCCCTCCTCAGACTCATACGGCCTTCAAATTACAGCTAATCATCTTTGGGTGCACAGCAGGGCGGGTGGGTTTAATATTTATTTTAATTGCAACGAGAAGTGGGTCATCCATAAGAAATTTCTCTGGAGATGCAATTTAGACTCAAAAGTATTTTGTGTTAGGTCTTTAAATCTTCTTTGAAATGCTCCCCTGTTTCCCTGCCAAAAAGGCCAAGATGAGACAAGAAAATAATCATAGCTTTTGATGAAATATTTCTCGGACCCCGTTCTGCACCTGAGGAAGTGGGAAGCCAGCGCATGGTGAATCCTGAGCAGCCCCCATTTATTATGGCTCCAGCTGTATGGGGTCAACAAGCTCCGCTCGCTTCTTCCTTCATCACCCCTCTGTTTCTGCTAATGGGCCCACTCGCTTTTCAAGCACTGAAGACTCTGTCGCTGCTTCGCGGCTTTCTGAATATTTCTGTGTAATTTGAGCAGCACCAGTAGGTTTTCACTCAGAGACCTTGAAGTTCTTCAGTGTGTCATCTTGTCAGGCTCATTTGATCTTACCAATTCCCTTTCCGTTTCATATTCTTTCGTTGGCAGCCCAAAAAAGTTTTCATCTAATTCTTGAACTCTGGCTTTATTCGACAGAAAGGGCTTAGGCACCATCCTTTATACACCTCTGGCATAAATTTACAGCAAGTCTAAAGGAATAGGCAGCATGTAAAGCCAGGTCTGAATCCAGCCTGATTCTTGTTTTCCTTTCTGAGTTTCTCTTATTTAAAAGGGCAGAGGGAGGTGGGCAGTAAGAACAGCCTAGCCACTACCCGGACGAACAAGCAGGATAGTCAGGGTGCAGCCGGGGTGAGGCCTCTGGTTCTGCGCTCTGCAAACCCAGAGCGGGCAACGGTCCCCGCTGCAGAAAGGCAAGATAAAAGCGGGGAGAAAGGAGAGGTCATTACCCTGTGTCTTGCACGGGGAAAATAGAAGCACAAAGTGGCACAGATGCACCTAGAATGAACTTTTCTAAATCCACAAGTCCTGCGTGTCGCACCTCGTCCATCCCCTGTGATGGGGCCTTCCCCGCAGGCACCCTCCTCTGCCTCGCTCCGCTCGGTTCACGTGCCCTGCCCGGGGACCGCGGCTCCGTGTTTGTGGAATGTCCCCGCATGTGGGGCCCCGAGGGGAGCCTCACGGCGCGACTGCACACACCAGAGGCAGGGGTAGCTGTTTGCTTGGGGAGTTTTTGTGCCGAGGGGCACCTGGGAGAGAACTGTGGCTCTTTTCTCCACATACACCCAAGTGTCTGAAATTAAGCAAGAAGACGTCTCCTTGGGTAGCAGCGCGTCTGGCAGAGAATTACAGAGAGAAATATCTCTTAATACAAACTGTGGGCTGAGCTTTGAGAAAGGGCTGTTGTGAAGCTACAGGGATTTCAGAAGGAAGTGGAGATGATAATTAATGCCTGGTTCAAAAGCAATTATACCAATTATGTTTTTAATTTAATCTCAGCAAAATTTGGGACTCTTAGAAAATGTAAATAAACAGCTCTAAAAATGTTAGCGTCTCTCCTGGTGAGCATCCTCCCCAGATCCTGGCTAAGAGAGCTATGTTCACAGCGGTGCTTGCCTACCAATCCAAGCAGGATTTGCAGAGAGATGATGATAGAAAATTCCCTCAGTTTTGCCCAGGAACTGCAGGGCCATCCATGGACATTTGTCCCCACAGGGAATAAGTGTTCTCCCACCACCTGCAACGGGGCTGAGCATCGCGGCATTCCACGGCGAACTTACACCAATTTCCACTGTTGTGCTGGTGCCCTGCCTGTGCAGGATTCCTGCTTGTCAGGACAGTGGAAAGTTCTGCTTCTCACTTAGCTAAATCCCACCCTGATTCCCATATGCACTAGCAGGAGAGTCCCCACAAATACCATGGTTTGTCCCAGCTACCGCTGCAGAACCACTGCAGCATCTCTCCTCAGTCGATCTAGAAATGGCGTTTTTCCCCATGTTTTGGAACTGTTCCATACTCGGGCTAGAGGTCACATCCCAGCACTGCATCCCACCCCATAGTCGTGAGCTCCAGTTGCTGTCGTGTGACGTAGGGTTGCAGAGATGATCCGAAGTGACCAAAGGCTTTGGGGAAGCAACCTCAGAAGGACCTCGCTTCCCAGGTTTCCTTGCTGTCTGCAATGCAGGACATGGGGCGTACAGCCATGCTGGTCACTTCTGAAAATCTTGGCTGAATTTGTCTTTTTCTTTAATAAGCCGCACAACCAAAGGAGTCAGCAGGCCCTGCACAGCAGCACAAAATGTATTAACACTCTTTTTTTCCTGTTCCTTTAGGGTCTTGTCATGCCATAGCCTGACTAACGAGCTCTCGCTTTCCGTGTGCCGCTGTAGGTTCAGCCCATACGAGTGGTACGATGCTCATCCCTGCAACCCAGGATCAGACATCGTGGAGAATAACTTTACCCTGTTGAACAGCTTCTGGTTTGGGATGGGAGCGCTGATGCAGCAAGGTACGGTGGCACCTCCCCACCCACACACCCTCCTGCCGGTTCTCCAGTGCAGGCCTTTTGTCATGGCTTTTTAAATTTAAAATTTATTTTGTTTGCGGCAGATACAAGATAAAACATCTGAACAGGCACAGAAGCGCTCGTCAGCACTGGCTCACAGCTCCCCGCTGAAAGGCGGTGAGGTACGGGAGAGGGGAGGCAGCTCTCTGCCAGCACCTCCTGGGACCCGCTGTGCTGGGAAGCGCTCGGTGCCCGCTGCTCCTGATGGAGATGTGCGTGCAGCACCGCAGCGCCTAAGGGAGCCGCTCCCCGAGGAGCTGCCTGCGCGGCAGGCGGCCTCTGGCTGGGGCCAAGGCCAGCAAAGGGCTAATGAGACAATAATATCATCGGGGGAACCGGCTGTGATCTGCAGTTCAGGAGCTCTTGGTGACTGCCTTTGTTGTTATTCGCTCACTTTGAACTTCATTTCCACTCAGACGCGCACCGAGCCGCGCCGTATCGCCTGCAGAGCAGGGATGGAGAAACAGAGGGGGACATGTGCCAGGGCCAAGCCCTGTCTGGGGCACCAGGAAAAGGTCCAAGGCTTTTATACCAAGAAAGCCATCCAATTTCTTCTGTGTCAGAGCAGGCCAGAGCTTTTCAGTCTTTTTTTTTTTTTTTTTTATTTTTTTGACACCTGCTTCTATTTGTACTTTCTGCCTTCTGCGGGTCAGAGCCCCCGTCCCAACAGCTCACCCCACAGCTCTGGGGACAGAGTCATCGCTCGCCCCGCAAGGCAGAGCCCCACGAGCTGCAGCTGCCTGCCGGCACACACGTGCCACTGCATAACAATAATTACTATTAATGAAGCGTGCATGCTCTGGCAGGTGTCAGGAGGAGCAGCTCCTGAGCCTGCCATCTGGAAGCGCACAGCTAGATGACGGAGCAGTGGCGTGCTGGCACGTGCCCTGCTGCTGTGCGCACAGAGGAGCACCCACCCACCGTGCCCCGAGGAGGAACACTGCCTTCATCTCCCTCGGCTGTTTAATTCACCAAACTCAACAGCATCCCACAGATTCTGTAAATTCCTACTTCTGTTAATTGAAGCAATTTGTTTAATTTCAGGATCTCTGTCCTGACTTGCTCTCTTTTAAATCAACTTTTACAGAAGACAGGGCATCTTGCCTTCTGGTTTGTCTCCATTTTTATCCTCATCTGGTCATTCTGCACATTGTGAAATGGCCTGAAACCCCCTCCAGCACTGGGCAAAGGCTGCTGGGTGAAGGAGGATGGCGAGGAGCTCCTCCAGGCAGCTCTGCCTGGCAGCCACTGCGTGCGAGACTGAACGTTTTCAGCGTTACTAGTGTAAGATACCACAATGACAGGGACCTTAGAAATGGGATATAGATGGGATTACATTCATATATGCGGATGGAATAGAGCAAACGCAATATATATAGATGGAACGAATAGAGTAAATCTGTTAGGAAGACAGCAGAGGGGGAGCTTGTGAGCAGCTCTGCATCAGGAAAAAAATTCAGCTGTGATCTAATTGCAGAAAATCCAGGAATAGAAATAAGTGGAAAATGTCAAACATTTGTCACACTTCAGTTTACCATGTATCAGTGGTTATACCCAGAACCACAGCATCAGCTTGGTGGCACACACGGTGCTACTGCTCCGTGCTCCTCCTGCTGCCGCGGCGGCAGCCTGTAATAGCGATTCTGCCCAGATCGCGCCTGCCCTGATGGACAGTGACAGTTCCCAGCAAGAGGGTTTAGCAGGATGAATCATCCTCTTATCAGATGCTGATAAATGAAAAGAGCTGTATTCTTTTTAACTCTATTCTGCATCTAAGAAGAAAAATATTTCAAAGCTAGACTGATGTCACACTGTCCAATGCATCAAAGGGCAAGAGATGGAATGGGAAAGAAGCAGGATCTTGAGAAGAATGGAAGCAGCCCTGGATATCCAAGGCTCCTCCGCTTCCTGGTGCCTCCTTGCTGCACTCCGGAGAAAAGCTACGCTCCATGCTATGCTTTGATGCCACACTGCTTAAAATTGCTTTGCAAAGCCCAATCTTTGTTGCAAATTCCAGGTTGGATATATCCTCTGAACGCAGTTGTTTCAAACCCAGAGCTCTTTCCTGGCTTTAAAAGGTGTCTTGGGCGATTACAAAAATAGCACAGCCCATTTAGTCCTTCGTGTCTGCTCAATAAAAGTCATTCCAGACCCGATACACCTTTTATGCTGTAATGTCTCCTGCTTCCCTACTTCTAACCAGTATTCAAAGTACTGGACCCTGATAGTTCCTTTTTCTCGCTGTTTGATTTTTTTTTTAAACCTTGTGTATTTGAACACACTCCCTAGAGTGAGTCCTTTGAAAAGTAATCCATAGAAAACCAAAGCACTTTTTAAATGGCAGAACAAAATACTCATAAAAGTTCATAAATGGCTTGCTATTTAAATCTCATAAAAGCAGCCTAGTTAATTACTTCAGTTTGAACGTTTCCTTTAAATTGTGCACCGTACCCAAGGTCAGCAATAAAGGGAGAGGGTTTTTCTGCACACGCTACAAAAACCCCACTGACTTCCTTGCATGCAAGATGTCTGGATAATTTGCCTCAAAAACAGTTGGCATTAATTGCCTAGCTATTACAGTTTTGACAATAAAACCTAATCCTTTTCTTATATATGTATACATATAATGTACATATGTATATATAAAACAGGTCCTTTCCCTCTCTGTTTCCTCTTCCCTCCTTCTCCTTCCCCGTCTCCCACTCCAGGCTCTGAGCTGATGCCCAAAGCACTGTCTACACGGATCATTGGTGGCATATGGTGGTTCTTCACCCTAATTATCATCTCGTCCTACACGGCCAACCTTGCCGCCTTCCTGACGGTGGAGAGGATGGAATCCCCCATCGACTCGGCAGATGACTTGGCAAAGCAGACAAAAATAGAGTACGGAGCAGTGAAGGATGGAGCTACTATGACCTTCTTCAAGGTGAGACCAGGCAAAGGCTTTCTACCATCCAGGCAGAGACGCGACGTTCTCAGGCCAAGAGGAGGGAGAACAAAGAACCAAAGACAAAAAGCCTCCTAAGCCAGCACTGCTTCTCCTTATAAGCAGGTTGGTTCAGTCTCGCATCCTTGTCGAGACTTTGACCCCTGTCAGTTTAGCTTACCTAGATTCACATCATGGCTAATTTCTCCTCTCGCCATTGCTAATTGAAGTCACAATTACAAAACCATATTGATTTTTCAGCTTCAGACACCCTAAAACAAAGCATATATTAGGCACAACAGGTCAGGTGTATCTTATATTAAAGCCCTACAGAAAAATCTTACATTCCCTAAAGTATCTTCCCTGTTTCCCATTGCAGCTCCTTCCCTGTCTCTGCAGTAACAGCTCCACAGAGCCCTTGAGGCTGACCTGGCCAGCCTTCAGGGACAGAAAAGACAACAAATGAAACCTAAAGCTGGACAGATGTTGCAAAGTGCCCTCCCTAACCAGTATTTTTTACAGCTGAAATATCTTTCTTGTCCTTCAGGTACTCACATTAGTGCAGTCAAGTTTTATTAACCTCCAAAACTCTGTGCAAGGTAACACCATCAATGCATCAGAATCAAATTACATTTATTTCTTCCCTTTAAAGGATAATTAATTTCAGAAGTTAGCCAGCACTGCAGAGAAGGGTGCTAAGAGCATTCATATTTCACTTTTGCCTCAAAAATGGAAAGAAATTGAGAGACTTAAAAAGACCTTTAAAACCACAGCTGGCCTGTAAAAACACACTTTAAAAAAAAAAAGAGCGAGAGAATAAAGGCATCGAAATGAGGGGTGATTAATGTAAGGAATGATCACCCTGGCTTGGAGACTTTAACTTCAACAATGAACTCAAAAAGCCGTCTTTTGGAAAGGTTTGGAGTTATGGAGTTATCTATGCAGGCGGTGCAGGGCCCCGGCCACGCTCCCCTGGGAGCACAGGGCCCCGGCCACGCTCCCGTTTGGAGTTATGGAGTTATCTATGCAGGCAGCACAGGGCCCCGGCCACGCTCCCCTGGGAGCACAGGGCCCCGGCCACGCTCCCCTGGGAGCACAGGGCCCCGGCCACGCTCCCCTGGGAGCGCTGGGCAGAGCTCAGGGTCCAGCACTGCAGCACTCGACCGGCGCCGACGCCGATGCTGTCCCTGGGCACTTTGTCAGCAAGGCAAGAGGAGAAGCGGCAGATCAGAGCCTTGGGCTGCAGGAACGGGGCTGCCGCCCCCCGCACCTCTGCTGCGAGCAGCGCTGGGGAATATTCCTTCCCCCCTGGTCACCCTAATTCAGAAGGAAATATATGGGCCAAAGTGACAGACATAGTTCATGCTTTAAAAAGCAGGTTGTGCCTGGAATACCGCAATAATTTGAATAGGCACAGTGTAAAGGCAGCTAGACTAGGCCGTCAGCAGTTTAATTGCCAAGACCCATTAAAGGAAGCCAACGTGCTGAATTTTAACAAGAAACATCGGCATTCTTCTGCAACTCTTCTTGGCTAGGACTTGGTTAAGGAGCCGCTATATTTTCCGAATCTCTATGCTTACTTTGCCAGGCAGGAGCGCAGGTTGGTAAAGAAACCTGGAGGATTTTGTTTGCTTTGACTTTTAATTAATTCTGGGAAATGAAAATGTTGCAAAGAATAGCAGGTTGCTGCTGGTTAGTTTGCTCTCTGCACTGGAGCTGGTGCATGCAGTTTTGTCTTTGGCGTGGTCAGATGTGATACATTGCCTTCCAAAAGCAATATAAACCTACAACAGCTATTAGGAAAAGACAGACTTTTACTGTTGTGTTTTAACTACTCTTTCCAATAAGAGTTTTATATGGGAATAAAAGGAAACTATCTTTTTTAAAAATCATCGTGGACATAGTATATTTATTGTTTCATATCATTATCCATCAGAATCATTCTTCAGGCTTCTAAGGGGCATTTGGCAGGGTTTACTGATGCAGTGTATTTTCCTTTTTCTTTCTTATTGTTGTTTGGAGATGAATTCTCAGGGGTGTCCCTTCTGACAAGCATTTCAATTACTGGAGCAGTGAGAGCGCTCATGTGGGATCCTATGTTCCCTTGTCCTTTGTGTACAGAGAACTATGGGAGAGCCAGAACTTCTCCCACCCCTCAGCGAGGTCTTTGTCAAATGACTGGGCAAATCCCGTGGTGGTTTAAGTACGGCAGCTCTGCCAGCGCCACCTTCACGGGGACATCTGTCCAACGGCACAAAGGTCTGGAGGACAGAGCCACAGGCACCTCCGGTGTCCCTGAGGATCCGCACTCCCTCCGGACTGGTGGGACCGAAGGAAGGCGAACTGCACGAGGCTTCTCCTTTGCTCTGCTAAAAGGGGGGTTATCAGGAGAGAAAGCTGCTGCGTGACTGCTGCTCATGAAAAGCTCCTGGAGATCTGGCGGTCAAGCACTCCTGCAGTTTGCTGAACAGACTGTCATCGCTGGGACAAAAGGCTGATGGCAGCATCCCGACTGGGATCCCCCACTGCACCTATTTCGTGGATTATCCACTAGGACTTAGCCCACGCTGCTACCTTGCTCCTTGTGTGACTGTTCTCCAGAGTCATTCCCCTCACATTAGGAACTCAGCCCTCCGCTTCTCCGTGTTAAAGAAGCTGCAAACCACATACGCTGACCCCCTCCAGGCCACGGCCTGGGCCCTGCGGCCCCTTCATCTGTGACTGGCAACTGTGGCCATCGTTGTCCTTCACTGAACCCTGCCTGGGTCCATGGCCCTCCCGGCACCCGGGAGGTCTGACAAAGCGGGATCTAGGGCCGAAGGAGGAGAGCACGATCCCGGAGCTGAGCTTAGGGAGCAATGGGAAACAGGAGGAAGGCAAACGCCTTGCACGCTGTTCCCTGAGATGGTTCCCAAAGCACCAACCAATTTTCTGCCCGTGGTCAGGCTGACCGAGGGTTCGTGCCAAGCTCACCACAGTCACTGCAGAACTTCCCTGTTGAACCAAGCCAAAAGACATCTCTGGGGCAGACCCACAGCGAGCAATCTTGCTCCCACAAAGGATTTTGCCTGTGCAGCTGAGCTGGCCAGCTACGGCAGACGGGAAGCAGGAGAGAGAGTTTTACCAACCGTACTGGCAGATTTTGACTTAATGAAAAGAACTTTTGAGAAGCTATTTATTCCCTGGCAATGCAGATTGAGTTACAGGAATAAACACAGATCAATTAATTTAGGAACAGCATCTAGCGTTCGTTATAAATCATGCCAGAAATCCTTCATATCTTGCAAAGGATGCTGTCTCTCTCTGAACAAATGCCGGGTTTAATGTGCAGTTTGGAGTACGAGTGTGAGAGCGTGTGTATGTGTGTACGTATACATTCACTCGTACAGAAATGTTAAATCCTCAAGAGTAAGTATCTTCAGTTGGTGAAAATCAATTTATTTTTTCATACAGGCTGGAATTGAAAATCTTAAGCCTGAAAGTTACTTTCTTGCCAATTTCACTGATAAAAAAGCATATATGTCTTGGCAAGATGCCTTGTAGTGGCTCCTCTAAACTATTCCATTAATTTATTTGGGTGACTGGTCTTGAAGCATTGGTTATTAAAGGTAGCTTCTGAGCTATGACTCTAAAGAACAAATTTAGAGGCGTTCTCAGTGTCGTTGCAATTGCTGCATTCAGAGGGGCTGGTACTCGGCTTTTCATACACGCATCTCATTTAGCACTAACGCGGGGGTTTTTATTAAGATGCAGAGGACAGCAGACCAGATTCTGCTGTTATTTATCCTGACCAAAACGAGGAGAAGCTCCGCTCATCTGAATCGGTGGGAGAGGCATAAGCGGGAGGGAGACACGATCCCCGCGGGGTGAACCACGGCTGCACTGATCAGCAGCGTTAAACTGCCGCCTTTGTTTATTAGCAATAATCTCTATCATTCCGAACGTTCCAGAGTTCCCGACTCTGGAATTTCTCTGCCAGGAAGAAGTCGGTGTCAGGCCATTTATCTTAATGCTTCAGAGCAACCAAGCAGTTCCTCTTCGTCTGCCTCTGACGGCAAAGCTGTCACTGAGGGGGGCCTGGGGAGCCCACGGAGGAGGCAGGGGCACAGGAGGGTCTCTCTGCCTGCCACCCACCCAGACTTCTTTTGTGCAGCCCATAAAAGTGAATGGTGATTCCACAGAGACAGAATTTTCAGCTAGCCACGGCACAGCAAATATCAGTTCAAACCAGCAACTAACCCCAGTAAGGATTTTTTCAAGGTAAATTCCTTAAGCTGTAAAATCAGAGATGCAGCAAAACAAAATGTATAACACACAAAAAAAACCTCCAGCAAAACAAACACAATTTATGTGCATTCTTTACTGCCTATTGAATGACTACGAAGATGTTTTTGCTTATTTGAATGGTGTGTTTGCCAGTGAGAGAAATTTCCCATAAATTCCCATAACTAAGTGACCACCGTTGCAGTATGGCTGAAGTATTCTGAGAGGAGGAAAGGGAGGAAGGAACAACTTTTCCCCTAATAGGAAAAAACGCATAGTGGTCGAAGCTCTCCAGAACGAGGTGTGAGCTGGAGCACTGTACACTCCTCGCCACGGTTGCTCCTGCAATTTTTCATTGACGACTGCTCTCACAATGACTGACAATTGCTTCTAAATTGGACTCTTAACAAATAGCCAGGTCTATCAAACTGCTAGTGCTGCGCGCAGAATTACAGTTGGTGAATTTTCACTTGGAAAAAGGAGTGTTCTTACCTCATGTTAGCTAAGTTAAAGAAACTAATAGGAAATAAATTCCCAGTGAGGAGGTGGCAGGTTTTAGACTACGGGGAGAGCCTGAGATTGCCTTGACCAGAGACGTGTGTCGAGCTGCCCTGCCTGCAGCGAGGGCCTGACCTGCCCTGCCTGAAGGAGCCAGCACAGCCTTGTCTTTGGGGAAGATGAGGCCATTGCAACCAGCAGCGTTTGCTGCGGGGTGACAGCCCTTCTCTGCTGAGGGGCTCAGCCCCGTGTTGCCAGGTCTCTGTTTCGGCTGTTCCATTAGGCACAAGCAAGCAGCGACAGGCAGCTCTGGCCTCGTGACGAGCCCTTGCCTAGGTGTGCTCCAGCCAGACAGGGTGCTCGCCCCGCCACGGGTGCCCCCCACCCAGGACGCCCGGAGGGGGCTCGAAGCAGCACAGCCCGAGCTGAGAAAGCTGGGGTCCTCGTAGCATTTCAAAATACAATTAAGTCCTTTCAGCTGGTCAGAAGCGGTGATTTAAGAAGAGAAAAGTGTTTTTTCTCTTCCAGGGAGCCCTGTCTCATGTAATTTGAGTTGCCTGAAGAGCTACAATGCCTCATGCAAGTCCTATTAGCTTCACTAAATGCAGCCTATTGATTTTTTGCCAGTTTATTTTGCTCTATGCTTTAAACTGGGAGAACACTGATGTTGTTTAAGAGCTCTGTGTCAACACCCAAGGAGCATTAAATGCAGGAAGAGAAGGTGAGGAAGGGAGAGCCAGTGAACCCAGAGGCCTCTGGTGTGAACTATATAAATGTTAAACAAGTCATTATCAGCCAGTCGAGTATGCTACTCATTTCAATTACCCATTGTAATGCACAGATATTTAATAATCCTTTTGGAGGCTCCCTTTCTTGCTGCTCTTTGAGGTTTGATAGATGCCACAAATCTACCTTACAGGCACTGGCCCAGATTTTCAAGTGAGGGAGATTATCCTGTCTCTTGAATGAAGTTCGCTCCGGCGCATCCACTACTGCACGTTCATCAAGTGGATTATAACAAGCGTGAGCTTTAGCTGAGAAGAAATGAGTCCGTGGTTATTTCAGTCAGGAGAATGAGCCCACAGGGTTAAAGGCAGAGGAACAGCCTTTGTCACTGTGCTGTACTAACCAACTTTGGGGTGTTAAACCACGTGCCAATTTTTGTTAAATATGCTGAAAAAAAAGGAGGTGGACAGGCAAAGCATTTGAAATATAAGGCACTATGAGGGACTTTTTTTCTTAGCTAATTTACCCTTATTTATAGTGGTGCTCTTATGAGAAGAACCTATGCTGGCATGTTTTGGGTGATACTGAAAAATGAGGGGGAGATGTGATAGCAGCAGTTGGGATGGGCTGGGGCTCCATCTCCTGCTTGCTTACAGAAGGACAGAGACCTGAAACGGAGGTAAACGACAGCTAAACCAGAAAGCGCAGCTTCTGCTGCAGCGACTCCTCGTGCAGCTGCAGGTGAGCAGTTACCCTTGTGCAAGGCAAAGCACAGAGACTCACCAGCCCCTCCAACTTATCAGCCAGCTTCAGGCTCTTGCTAAGTAGGGTTGTGGAGGAGGAGGTTTTGGCTGACTAAGCTGCCTCTTATAAAATAAGAGGCCTAGGAAAAACAAGAAATTAGGCAGGAAAAAAAGAATGGCACATAAAGGAGCAGGCAGCAGCACGAACACAAGCCTCAATATCCAAGTGCTTTTCCAGAGCTCAGCTGGATGTAAAGAGCTGGTTTGACGAGAGCTACATTCACGCACGGGCATACAGTGACCAGCGAAGGGGGTACTTCAAGAGAAAGCTGCTGTGCCTTTCCTGGGGAGTCTTTCTAGACCAGAGCTGGTTATGTCTCTTGTCACAACCTCCGTAGAGACAATTCAGAAGGTGGTCGTAGATAAATGGTATATTTCAAATGCTATGGCAAGACATAAAATAACCATATTTCTTCTCACCCAACACATTTTCTAGAAGAAGAAAAAAAAATTCACATGAATAGTAAGCTAGAAAACATATTCCTCCTTTTTTAACAGAATGCCTGCTGATAGTGAAAGAATACCCATGTTTATTTTTAGCCGTAAGACAATCTCCTTGAATATTTCTATCCCTCTGTTTATGTGGATACGTTAAATTTGTTTGGCAGTTGCACATATCTCAGAGGAGACATGTTTCCTTGTGATGCTTGAGGAAAGACAAAAATATAATAGAGCGTGTGGAAAAGGGAAAAACATGCCCTCTGAAATGTTCTCTGTCTTCTCTCATTGTGCAAAAACATTACAGGATAAACCAAATTCTGGTTAGGAAACTAATACATTTAAACAGATATACTCATAGCCTGTCACACGAGCAAGCTCTGCAGGGCATCAAGGCAGGGTCTCGCTGTACCTTACCGAAGTGAGCGAACACTTCAGTTCCACCTACAGGATACGGTCTCTGGAGCAGCGACTCGTTCTGCCGAGCGTCTGCACACCGTGTGCCAGAGCCTTTGCCTCTTGTTACGGCAATGGGAAGCCAAACAATGCTGGGCAGTGAAAGCAGAGGGATATTTAAGACAAGGTCAAATTGGTAATAGTTTCATTACGTGATCTGTTCTCAAACTGGTATTATCATTTACTGTAAAGACACGAGGTTTCAGCAAATAGAAGTCTAATTCTTATTTTTGGGGTGGGGGGTATCGTTTTTCCAGAAATCCAAAATTTCCACGTTTGAAAAAATGTGGGCTTTCATGAGCAGCAAACCCACAGCACTTGTTAAAAACAACGAGGAAGGAATCCAGCGAACCCTCACAGCCGATTACGCCCTGCTGATGGAGTCAACCACCATCGAGTACATCACCCAGAGGAACTGCAACCTGACTCAGATTGGGGGGCTCATCGATTCCAAAGGCTATGGGATTGGGACTCCCATGGGTAAGTGACAGCAGCAGGGTTTCTGTAGGTAGCCCTGGAGGGGGGCTAGTTACCACAAATACAACAGATAGGATTAAGACAGTCCACTCCCAACAGTGAATTTCCAAATACCAAAGCTTATGCTGTCTGCCTGCTGAGGAGCAGTCTGAACAGCCCTGCAGACACATTCCCTGCTTTGTGTGATTTTTGTCCTGCTTTCCCTCTGTGTCTAACGGTGTTCCCCCTCCCCAGGGTCACCGTATAGGGACAAGATCACCATTGCCATCCTCCAGCTCCAGGAGGAGGACAAGCTCCACGTAATGAAGGAGAAGTGGTGGCGAGGGAATGGCTGCCCTGAGGACGAGAACAAGGAGGCCAGCGCTCTGGGCATCCAAAACATCGGTGGGATTTTCATCGTTTTGGCAGCAGGCTTGGTGCTGTCCGTCTTCGTGGCCATGGTGGAGTTCATCTACAAGCTGCGCAAAACGGCGGAGCGCGAGCAGGTACTGATTTCCTCAGTCTCCCTGCACCACCACTAGCCCAGCCGTTAAGGATTTTGCACGCTGACCCCAGAGACAGGCAGGGAGATGGGCAGAGGGATTCAGCCCTGCCCCTGCTGCCTGGAGGTCCAAGCGCCCACAGCCCAAGGGGTGAAATGCAGCACCCCCGAAATGCCGTTCCCTAAGGCTCGTTACTTCTGTCCCACTCCGACAGCCTCAGGTCAGGGGACAAATCATTTCTACTGCGACCAGGGTCATCTGCTGCTTCTGTAACTAGACTAGTAAACATTTGTAGGGTAATTTTGAGCAAGCCAACACGTAAGTCATGAAAATACGGACAGAGGTCCCTGGGAGGAACCTTTCCGAGCTGTTACATCCACTCGCCACTATCACATGCAATCGTGGTGCATATTGCAGGTGTAATGTATACACGCATGAAGTCTCCATCTCTTCTCCCCACTCCTGTTCAAAAAGCCTCAAGGAACTGGTCAGGGTCCACCAGGAAGCCGCATGCTATTTTATCAACTTTTCACACTTACACAAATGGCCCATCCCACCCGCAGTGGCTGATTAGTGCTCATGAACAAGAGGACTGCTTTTATCTTTTTCCCCTTCCTTGCGTGTCATGGTACAGTAAGTGGAAAGTGCATTTGTGTGCGTGACCAGAAATCAAAGCAAGCTGCCCATGTGATGGACTAGATAGATGAAGGAAAGCTGCCCACTAGCAAGCCCAGCAGGATTCGATAGCCCTCTGTTTCCCAGCACATAAATCTACCAGACCCCCAGCAGGGATCACACAAAGCACCGGCACTCCAGCAGCCGCCTATAGCTCTGCCTTTCTGCAGGATTTAGTGTGCCAAAGGTACAATTCTTGCCAAAGGAGAGAGGGGTCAACCAGACGCCCGTGCATCACTGACGTCCCACTAAGCAGAGCTGATGCCTTAAATGCAGCCTAAACCTCGTGCTTGCCCTCTGCAGAGCCTAGTTTCAGCATCCTCCTCACGGAGAGGTTAGCAGAACATTTTGCCAGGAGTAACGGTGCTTTTTGTCCCTGCTCTCCCCAGCGCTCCTTCTGCAGCGCCATGGCCGATGAGATCCGGCTGTCGCTCACCTGCCAGCGACGAGTCAAACACAAGCCCCAGCCACCCGTCATGGTGAAGACGGACGCCGTGATCAACATGCACACGTTCAACGACCGACGGCTGCCAGGGAAGGACAACATGACCTGCAACACTGGATTGACACCTGTGTTTCCCTAGGGAATGGGAACGGGGGGGCGGGAGGGAACGAATTGCAGCAGACAAGGCTGGATGCACTCTTAACTAGGGAAGAAAGGATTAAAAAACAAGAAAAAAAAAAACAGAAAAAAAAAAAGCCTGGTTTGGTTCATTTCAAGAACAAGGCCTTTACAACACAGCTGCATCGATCACCGGCATAGAAGCAAGAACTTCAAAGCATGGACTGTAACGTGGGTCTTGGGGCTTTTCTGTTTTGTTTTTGTTATTTTTTGTTCCTTTTTTTTTTTTTTTAACACTTAGATCCTACAGGCCTCATGGAGTCCAAACACACTACCATCCAGGAGTCTGATGTTTACATACTAAAAACACATGGAGGCGAAACAGAATTGAGCCAAACTGACCCTCGGCGGGTAAGGAGGAGCCCCCGAGCAGGGCTCCTTTAGCATGGCAATAAAAAGAAACACTTTGTCAGGTGCAGCGTGAGCAGCCGTCTGTGCAAGCATCTATTCCACACTGACATACACAGCACATTTAGGATACGTTGTCTGGGAAAGGTACCTGTGAAGCACCGTGATGGTCAAGGCTGTGCCTTCTCTCAAAGCAGCTCACGGTGGCCCTTTACCTCACAGCCGTGCTGGCCGTGGCCATCTGCAGCTGGAAGCCCACGTCGGGGTGTTGTGGGAGAAGGCAACGCACACGTTCATCAGCAGATCCAAGACAGCTGACTACGAAGGGGCGAGTAAGCCTGAATGGAGCCGAACTCCTGGCAGGGACGGAACAGCGCAGCATGCATGGGAGCCACTGCCATCTCCAAGTGACGCCACCCACGCGCCCCGTGCCAAACTCCAGCCCGCGCCCAGGGTGACACCGTGATCTCCAGGTCCTCAGCTCCTTCACTCTTTCTGCAAAGCTCAGTCCCTCCTGCAAAGAAGCGTGGAAAGCGGCTGAGTCCACAGGCTTCAGCAGCGGCAGGAGCAGAGCTGTTTCCAAGAGCCGCACAGTATCAATTTCCGTGAAATTCAGCAGTGCTGCACCGCAGCTCTGCTGCGTTCACGCTCAGCCCAGGAGAAGACTGTATGTCTGGTTTAGGACTAAATGCTCTTCATGGCATCAGAGACCTGAAAGATGAAGTCTCAGCCTGCAGGGCCAGGGCTGGCCTGGGACAAGCAGCACTGTGTCAGCCAAGCCCGACAGCCCTTGCGCTCTGCCCGGTGAACCGCAGCCCCTCAGGCACCATCTCCACGTGATTTAAGCGAACACACACTAAAATGTTTTTAAGAAATCTTCCATGAACTGTGTTCTTATTTTCAGGTTGCTTAACCCAGAAGGCTGGTCCTGCAGATGAATTTAGTCAGAATTACCAAAGACCCCTCTGCTGACCTAAAGTAATGCTCGAGTAACATCACTCAGCTCCGTCCCTCCACAGGGAGCCGCACGGGCGGCCAGTGGGACACTCTGCGGATTAACTTGCAAAAGGAAACAAACAGAAATGGCTCTGCCCATTGTAAGCCAGAACATCCCATGGAGAATATTGCAAAGGTGCTTAAAAGCTCTGATTTAAACACTAGTATTGAAGAAAAGAGCAACCTCCTGCCCTTGCACACGTAAGGGTGACAGTGACTTGCCGCAGATCGCGCTGCTGCTGGAAACCCCTCCTGCACCCCCACCTAAACCCCGGGCTGGAGGGCAGGCAGGGCAGCGCGGCAATGGAGCAGCCCGATGGTGCCCGAGCTCTGCATCCCGAACCTTCGCCCTCTGTGTCGTGAGCGTAGCGAGGTGCCACGGCCACCACGGGAACCAGCAGCTGAACTGACCCAGTTTGCCCTCCCCTGGCTGCAAGGCCTTTCTGGAAAGTTTATCCTCGCCCAAAGGAACAAACCTGTTTGTAGCTGATTTCAGATTTTTTTTTCCCCATCTGTTTCTGAGGCTCAGTTAGGAAGGTTATCTTTGGAACTGATCAGAATTAGCAAATTAGCTCAAGGGGAGATAGCTGTTCCCCCCCATCACAGAATATAATTTGTCCTTATTTTGTTTTTCCGTGATGTAAAAAAGCAACATAGTGACCCAAAACAAAAAAAGGTAATTTGTCATATTTTGACTCAAGTAAAGATATGCAAAGAATTTACGTTAAATTTTCACCTTTTCATAGAAACCATGAAAAATTAGGGGTGAAAGCTGCCAACTCATGAGGTATCATATTCTTAATAGTTTGCTGACCAAATACCTACAGCAGAGGGTAGACGGGAAGCATGGATCTGTTTCCCAACGCTAATGCCATTCTTTCTGTATTTCTTTGCAAATCCTTAGGCTTGTCAGAGTAGTAGATTTTCTTAGAAAGAGATTTTTACAATTAAGGCAGAGAGAAAAACAAAGCCTGAAACAGGCTTTAAATGTCCAGAGAGAGTAAAATACCACAGAAAATAGCATTCATTTTGCTTCTTGGCAGATCTTTTTAAAATAAGTAAATATTACTAATACCATACACCGCGTTTATTCACCTTTGACACCAGTTTGATTTGATTTTACTCACACACGGCCCAGAGTGACAGGTGAGAATCCAGAATTACTGGTGCTATCTGCCAGCAAGACCGAACCCCACAGATTAACCTTTCCCCTTCCCTCTCTGTGCTGACCATAAATCAGCCACGAAATAGCAGCTAACTTCACGCATCTACATTATGGTTTTATGTTTAAATCCTGATCATTAAAACGTTTGACACATTTAAGAAGGAAATGTTCTGCACCACTCAAAGCAATGTAGGAGCTGGGGGAGCCGCCGGGGACCCAGGCCCGGCGGGCACCGCTGGCTCCCCCCTTCCCGCCAGCTCCTGCTCACTGTGAACTGAGGGGAGGTGAGCTGGTTTCAGACCTCAGCCTTCCTGCTGTAAACCAGGGGCAGCTCCACCCAGAACAAGCGTTAATTCAGCCTGTTGCTACACTGCTTAGCAGAGACTGGAGTCTCTCCTGTTATTCCCATTTCCCCTGCGTACTCCTTGCCTTCGTCCTGGGGAGCGCGGGAGCCCGTAAGCCATGCGGTGTTTAATTGCAGAGGAGCATCGAGCCTGACGCTTAGCGGCGATGTGTTGGGAGACGTCAGAAGGGGCAGACCTGATGACAAAGCCTCAAAGCCTTCTGCGAGCTATTTTGGGACCTGTTTGTGACTATCGGCGACTCACATCTTTGAAATCATCTGACTTCCAACTTTGTTTAAATCGGTTCCTTTCTTCGCTTGGTAGGCAGAGGGACTGAAAAAGTGAGGAGGAAATAAAGAAAAACCAGGTTTGGGCTATTAAACTGTATCTAAACTGTTGTCACCTCAGCTCACTGTCCCTTTATCACTTGCTTTTTCCCTCTAGCTCTCCTGTGAGACAGAGCAGGGGCACAGCGGGTAGCTTTGTTTGGGGTTGCTTTTCTGTTTGGAGTTGAGCAACAGTGCACGTTGAGTACGATGTCGGGATGACAGATCCACAAAGAGACGGAATATGTGAAGGGGAACCAGATCCAGATCTGGGCAACCACTGCTCTGCCCTCGGTGGGTGCTTCTGCGGAGCGGGATTCGGCACGGGTGGTCTCTGGGAAGGTTGCTGCAAAGGGACCCCGCAGACCCTGGCAGCTGTCACCCAGTGCTCAACAACCTGAGCCACGCGCCGCCAAACTGTGCGGAGAGCCCGAGCCCCAACACCCAGCGACCGGGGGGCACGACAGCGCGTCCCCGCGTGGGCGTCACCGGGGGTGCTCGGGGCTGGCCGGGCAGGAGTGTTCCTGGGCATCGGCATCGCAAGCCCTCTGCTGTCTGTACCTTACTTGGACACATTTCTCAAAAAAAGACAAAAAAGAGAAAAAGAAAAAAAAAACAGAAAAGAGTGGAAAAAAAGGAAAAAAATGGTCTCCGCGACATTCAGGGGATTTTCCTTTGTGGACATGCAGAATTTCTATGAATATAGTTTTTTGTAAACATTTTGTAACAATTTTGGTTTCATAGTAACTGTGTTACTTGCTGATCATTCTAGGCTGATGTAAATAAAATTTCAAAAAAAAAAAAAAAAGAAAAAATTCTGATTATTTTCCTTTTTAAGACACTGTGATATATCAAAGTGCACAGTTTGCTGTATGAAGTAATATGGTTTTAAATTTTAAATAAAAAATAATTTCTAGAAAATAATCAAGTTTATGCCTGTTTATACTGAACAACTTCCTTCTTCCTTGTTGAAATTTTATACCTAAATCCAAGCTGTTTAATGACATCCCCTGTCTCTCCTGATAATCAGCCATAAAAAGTCAGTGATAAAAAAACCAATTCACAACTAAACCCAAACATCTCAGGAGAAGAGCTGCTAGTGCTGCTCACCAGAGGGGATTTGTGTGTTTAGAAGTGGCAACGATGGGCTTGGCCACAACGCGCGGAGAGAAAGAAAAGACCCCCCCTTTGCTTCACCTTCAGTCGGAGGGGGGTAAGAGAGACGATGAGGCTCAGACAGCATAACTCTCCCTGTCCTCGTATACCTACGGAAAGTTTGGTATCAGACAAATAATTAAGTCCAGGTACTCCATGAAAAGCCATCTGCAGAAACGCTCTCCCAACGTGGTTCGCCCAGAGGCTGCGTGCGCTTTTCATTACAGAAAGGTGCCTGAGCCCGAGACCCTCCGACAAGACCGCAGGTCCCCAGCGGGCTCCAAGGTTCATAAAAGCTCTGTTTACCTGCTTTCCCTTTCGATGTAAGTCAAAAATCTTATTAGCCTGATAAAAGCTGAAAGCACCCTAAAGGCCAATGTTTATTAGCCTGGAATCTTTATGACTCTGCTTTATTATATTGAGGCAGGGAGAAAACGTCTGCAGTTTCTGGGACAGGAATGATGAGAGACCGGAGCTGTGCCACTCGAGGCTGCAGTGAAACAAACTCCGAAAGCAGCGGCACGGCCGCAGGGACAGCTAGCCCAGCTCCGGGCTCCTGCGGCACGGCAAGCCTCGCTCCCCAAAGCCCTCCTCTCCTTCGCTGCGAGAGACGGGCATTGGCCTGGAAACATGACGGGGGCGGAAGGGTGGCATTTTAGGCACTGTGGTTGTGCATTTCTTAAATAATCCCCAGACGTTGCCATGAGATTTAAAAGACAATTCCTTCCCATTTTAATTATTTTTA